CGGGGGTATTGTCAGGAGATGCGGGCCGGCTACCATGTGACGCGGCCCAGGGCGGAAGGGATTGGCCGAGGCGGCGCAGGCGGTGCAGCCCGGCCGGCTGGCTGCTCCGCTCCCTTTCTCTCAGCATCTTCCCGGGAGCCCGTAGGTGAAGCCGCGCGGCAGCATCCATGGCCTGCCTTTGGGGCTGACACGCGTCGCCTTTGGCTCGGGCAGCAGCGGACCGAACCCACCTCGGCGGCGGCGGCGGCGGCGGCGGCGCGAGGACCTGGCTGGGACCCGGAATCGTATCCCCGGTGCTTGGTTTTCAGACTCCTCGGAAATTAAGGAATGCAATTCTGCCACCATGATGGAAGGTAGGATGCTTTCGGCCGTGCTTGGCTGGCTTCGGGCAAGGTTTGGGCAGAGCAGTAGTCAGGAACGAGTGCAGCTGGGGCTCGTGGCGGTGCTTGGACCTGGGTGCCGGGGTTTGCAAGCAGAAAAGCTGCAGTTTGCTTGCAGTAGATCAGGACTCAGGCTCATGAAATCAAACCACGGGGCTTCTGCCTAGCTCAGAACCTACGGAGCTCCCAGCTCTTTTGAGAGAGAAAAGCCTGAAGTGTCTGCAGGGAACCGAGACCGAGCGAGGAAAGAGCTTGCAGAGCAGATAAGTTGGGTGAGAAGATAAGGTTTTCTGTTGTCTGTTCCTGGGACTGCACTGATTAAACATTTACAGTGGAAACTTGTTTTCTGAAATTGACATTAAACAGGAGAGGTCATTGACAGAGTTATCCATACTGTCGTTTTCAGTGAAGTGTTTACATTTTTCAAAAAATTTCATAAGGTATTTTTATCTCTGCAGTTTACATCCTATTTTTGGTATGGGGGGGCGGTGCAACAAATTTCGGTCCATAAACTGTAGTGTTATCGGGGTGTCATTGCAACAGAATAAGCAATATGAGAAAAATACCCAGGCCTCTTGGATCCTGATTCAGGGTCTTGTCAGGTTAAAAAGAATTTTGTGCTTGCTAAATGCTTTTCCTGTGCAATGGATTTTGGCCAAGCATTTGATGATTACTTGCTGATTATCTTTTCGCATTCAATATTAAGTGTAAGAAGGAACTTTCCCTAGGGAGATTCTATAAACTATATTTTATTCTACTAAATTACCCTTCCCAGCCTGAAATACTGACAGCCAAGATTGACTCAAAAAAGCAGCAAGCTGATCAGGAGAAAAGCAAGCAGCTCTCTGTTGGCTTTGATTTTCTGTTTTCACACTACAGGATGGTGCAAAACTCCTGGCCTTTCCTAAGATGACAGGCAGAAATTTGTCCCCAGCCTGGATTTCACAATGCAGAACTGAGTGCATAATGGGTCTCAAATCAGCCATGAAAATGGCAGAGAGGCCACCTCTCAAGCCAAGGTCTGTCCTGTGGATTTTAACCGTGCCTTAGAAATTTACCAAAATGCAATGAGAGGTTTCAAAAAATCAGCAGTGTAGGTTATATGAATTCCTTTTTGCTTCCCTTGTCACCATGTCAAACATTGTTAATGTGATTTGGGGAGTGAAGAATTCTCGAGTCAAAACCCGCAGATTTTAGAAAACAGCCTTTAAAAGAGAGGTTGGGTATCATTTTGTGATGTAGCCTGGTCTCGTTTGCAAAGGGCTCTCAAGCTAGTTCTTTAAATACAGGCCTAAATACATTGAGGTTGCCAACACTCTCAGATTAAATCATTTTCATTAATTCAAAATGGATTTAATGTTTGAATAGCAAGGCAAGACAATCAGAGAGAGTATTGCTTATGGACTCTTCAATTAAAAGCTCATGCAGATTATACTCTTCAGAAAAAAAATCTTATCTGTAGAAGTACTATATTTCTCCAGCTAAATTTCATATAGCATATCTCAAAAATGCATCTGCACACATTCTGATTAGATTTCAGTCTTACATAGAGAATTGGATGCTCTTTCATTCTGCTTCTTGCCTTGTAAAGTATGACTCTAAAGTACATTCTGTGATGGTAGTAACATTTTTTAATGCTCATTAATGATTCTCCTGGTAACATAGTCTATTGTGCCCTTCCAGGATGTCAGTTCAAAGCCTTATGAGAAGCTTATCTGAGCTGCCTAAACCGAAATGAGAACTGTAACAAAGGCTTGGGTTGGAGCTGAATTAGCACTATTGCTCTGGGTTGGCCAAATTTATCTAATGAAGGATGTTATCTCAGCACTGGTGTGAATTAGAGGTGACACTATGGATACAGTTGTCTTTCATAGGTTCCTTGCAAGAGAAATTAGACAGGTGTTCCCATTGGCTTAAACATTTAAATGAAATGAGTATATTTTTTCTACCCATATTTCCTATTCAAAGGCTTTTTAAGCTACTTTATCTTGATGGTTCAATGACCTCAGGAAGGCAGGAAGAAACCTTAACCAAAAGTCACTTTGGTCCTCCGTGGACTCCCAACTTAGTTGCAGTCTTTTTGGCAATATCATGTCTCTGATACTGCATTCCAGAATTTCACCTCTGAATTGCTCTGGCTCTGAAGGTGTGTTATATCATTGTTATTTCCACTTAGCTCATCCCCAGAGAAAGCCAGGCTGTTACATCTATAACAATAACCTTGGAATGATAAGATTTTAAGATGACTTTTAGGCATCTTGAAACCCTGTCATGGCAGCTTTCTGCTGAAGTATCAGTGGGCTCTGCCACCAAACATCTAGATAGTTAAAACTATGTTTCTTCTTCTCAGCCAGTACATTTGGTCTCACACAAGTACATAGTCATCTACATAAGCATATTTCTTGGGAGGGAGAAAACGTGCATGTGCACTCGTGTGTGTGTGTGTGTGTGTGTGTGTGTGTGTGTGTGTGTGTGTGTTCATTTCTATATTGCAAAAGTGCTTCAGTCTGTTGCTTAGAAAAAGCATGGCCATGGCAACTTTTCAAGCCACTTCTCTACTTTGTGTAAAACACGATAAACATATATTCAGCAGAATGGCTCATAGTAAACGATGCTTTGTTGATGTGGAACAGGATATAGGTTCCCATTCATTCAATGTCTGTTGGAATTCCTGGTCATAGATGAGGGGTGCTATTACCTCCTCAGTGATTCCAACATCGTGGAAGGAGGCAACATACTTCTCCAGGGACCTTGAGCTGGTGACCTGTAGTTTATGGTCGCATGGTTCATTTCTCATATATTTTGTTTGAATATATTTTTAAGAGACTTGGTTTGCTGCTTTTGGTGTGTTTCTTTCCTGAGGAAAGCTACATGACGAGGAATCTTATGTATTATGAATATGAAAGGAAAGATAATTAGCAAAGACAATTCTGTGCATGTATTGGCTAAGCTGGCAATGCAGTCCATGAGGTTAGAGCAACTAGTCAAGACTGTTTTTTTTCATATGTTATTGTAAAGTTAAAAGTGGCATTTTTTTTTAGCTACCCTTCCTAAAACAAGTGAAATTAAGTCAAAGTTTCTCAAACTATCTGTTTATTTGTGAGGCAAGTACTTCCTTGTCCACACAGACCTGACTGAAGATGCTTTGTGTTTTCACAGTACTTCCATACTCAGATTCTTAGGTGCTATACTAGAAAGATAATTTTCTTTCTTTTTTTTTTTTGAGTTGGAGTCTCACTCCATTGCCCAGGCTGGAGTGCAGGGGTATGCTCACTGCCGCCCCAGTGTTGACCTGCTGGACTCAGACGAGCTTTCTGCCTCAGCCTTCCAAGTAGCTGGAACAACAGGCACATGCTACCACGCCGGGTTCATTTTTGATTTAGACAAGATCTAATCAAGTTGCCCGAGCTGGTCTCGAATCCACAGGCTCAGGCAATCCATTCACCTCAGCCTTGCAAAGTGCTGGGATGACAGGCTGAGCCACTGAGCCTGGTCGAAAGATAAATTTCTAGGTGCCAATGGTTTCATTCTATGCAAAAATTTAAACAATTTCCAAGTATATTCTTAAAAGTGTACAACGTTCAAGGTAATTTAATACATTTTATTATATTTATTACACACAATAACCTGAAAATAAGTATGTTCTGGAGTAATTTTTTTTTAATCACAAAAAATAAAAAGAGGCAAAAAAAAAAAAAAAAAAAATGGCACAGTGGTATTTAAACCCAAGTCTGTTTAACAACAAAGCTCATGTTTTTTAACTCTCTGGGAAGTTTTTTTTTTTTTACTTTATATCAGGGTGTGCTTGTTAACCTAATTGAAAAATAGACCTTAGTTTCTTTGGTTGCATATTCTGTCTTTGTCTAATTTATATATGTGTTCACAGAGCCATACCCTTTAATTCTTTGTTAATGCCAAAATCATTATTTAGAAAACTCTGCATAATTCAAGAGTAACTGAACTTTCGTTGTTTCAATAAGCCTTATAAGTAGGAAAGGCTTTTTTTTCTATCTAGAAATGGAGTTTTATAATACTTGCAAAATCCTTTGATGTCAAAAAAGAACAAATTGAAATTGGAACTGTTCATTTTATAGTTAGCTAAGAAGTTTTAAATGGAATGCTCCTACTGATCCCCTTCCCTTAAATCGTGAAATTAGAAAATCTAAACATGCAGCTATAAGATTCTAATGTATATTCCATCATTTATTTAATTTCTCTCTTTCCCCAGGGCTCTGTGTCAGAGAGAGCCTCTTTAGATGTACACGTTCCCATCCAAATTTCAAGAGCCAGCTTTAAATCTCAAAGAAGTATATATAGTCTTTAAAAAGTTTAGGTAAACTATGCTAGAAGACTCCAGATAATTATTTCTGTTGGGTCCAGCACATACACCATTAATGTTTCAAATAAACAAGTTGCAGGAAGTCACCAACTCACAGTTTTTATATCCCTGAAAGTTTGTTTATGAGTTGGTTACTTGGAACATGTTTTCCCATAGGAATAGTGATGTAAATGGTTAGAGTCTCACACTAGTCGATCAAAGGTTATTAACCCAACATCTAGCTAAAATACTCAATATCTCCCCCTGAGGAGAAGTTAGGGTACAGGGCAGGGGTACTGGGTCTAACCAGTTGGTGAACTGACTACCAAATATATGTTTGGGCACAGAATGGTGAGTTTGTTAGTAGGAGAGACACTGGGAAAGGACATTTAGACTTGGGGAGAGATGGGTCTTCGTTCTTGGAACTTGTATGTCAGTTAACTGCATCTACAGGATATTAGAGAGATATTCAGCATCCAGAATTAAATACTTACATCATGTGACTTCCTTATTTTTAAAACTCCTATATTCTTTTATTTCTCTTAAAATCCGTAGCCTACAAGAGCCTGAGTGCTCTGGCCTGCTGTGTCCCTTCAAGCTTACTGAATGCTTCACCCACTCTAAAAGCCATACTGCCTGCCTCTTGGTGTTTAGA